TTGACAGAATGTTTTAAACTGAATATTTTAATTATATAAAGTGCAATATTCCTGGGGGTCTATATACACCTTAGTTAGTAGACCTGCTGAGAATGAGAGGTATTTTAAAGTAGATATCCTGATCAGTGCAATATTTAACTGAAGGTATACACTTAAGCTACTAGGTATACGCAAGCTGAGAATGATGACATGTTAAAATTAAGAGGAATATGTTAATATTTACACTGTGCCATAGTACAGACACTGATCAAATACGCCTATTAGGTACTCCTGCTGTGTGGGCACAGGATGCTGTTTTACTTACAAGAATATCAAGTCTAGCTAACAATGCATGACAAGATCAGGTTATGGGTAGAGTGATCACAGGAAGTTGTATACAAATATTACTGAATATCCAGTTATTAGCTGCTAAATCTAAATGTCCTGGGGGTAATTATATGGTATAAATTAATTGTGTCCTGTGAATGATAGCAATGCACTGTCAGGTTGACAAGCCCTGACCTCATCAGACCCCGGGCCCTGGGGGATTCACACCTACATCTATATATTATATACTGTAGATTATGTATTACTGGGAGTGTGACACAATGTACTGTTGTAGCTAGGTGTGACATACCTACTAGTTATCAGATTTATACAAACAGGTATACCGGTAGACCTCCTGGACTAGCACCTTGTTTAATTCCTCATCACACAGACTAACATGTGCAATATTTTATTTAATTTTCCTGTTGTAACAATATATATATATATATATACCTTGGGTAAACCTCGTCTATTACACAGTTAAAAACATAACATACTTTAGTTAGATAAACATGATAACCAATTACAACTATCACTCCTTGGGGAATGTAACTAACAACCTGATTGAAGATAAAGGAAAATAATATTTTTCTAGTCCCCTTTGCCTTTAGTTTTAAACACTAAATCTCGCACTTTTTGGGGAATGAAAAACCGAAAATTTTCAGAATGTTTGTTTGCACGGAACTAGACAAAAGAAACTACATGTACATCTATGCAAAATTTAAACAAAACACAAAAAATGGCATGTTACAAGGAAGGACCTTGCAGGTAAGGAAATTCATTTGTCTAATCACAGATGACACAACAGTAACTTCGACCAATCAACAACATCTTAACAAATAGTGATGGGATGACATAACCATTTCTTTAACAGATAATGGCCGGAAGACTTTGTTTTCTGTGTGATAATTATAATCACATCAATTTCAATGTGACCTTAGTGACAGCACTGAGGAAGAACGTTAAGCTGTCTTCATATGTACATACAGGACAGGTGACAACAATAATTTCCATGTTTTCTTCAGAATTAAAGAACTGGGACAGTGGAAGTAATAGATAGGTGTGCATGGTTTTAAAATTTGGAAGGGCCTTGCCAATGGGACGTATCTATTTGCTTAATTGCTCTGGAGAAAACAGTTAATCATTTTACGTGCATACAGTATCATACATTAGCCAGGTATATCCCTACTTAGTTGTATTAGGGTCCTGATCATGAGTCCATTATTTCACAAATGTAAATGGAGAAAACTGAATAATTGTTAAATAATTATTAACAAAATTATAATGCCTTGAATCCGCATTAAACAAAATCAGAAAAATTTAACAACTTTTGCTTAAATCTTTACGGGAAATGTGTCCATTTTTCAAACAAAAAAGAGGCCCATAGAAATCTCTGAAAGACAGCACATACAAATATTTTCCAAGGATGTACTTATAATGTTTTAACTATAGCGCTGGTGTGAGCTCAGTACTTGGAGCTAAATGTTTATATGTATACTTCAATGTTTTCTTTCTTGGGTTTAATATCATTAAGTTTGAAAAATTTGTATTTGTACACCTGTACAGTTATCTTTTGAGAATATAAACGAGTTGTATGCAAAAAAATAGTAATACACTGAGCTCAGCAGATGTTCAGAGTGTACAAATGTATATCAAAACACATCATGCATGTCTTATTTTATATTCATACAGATTATATCTACGAAAAAGTCTAAAAGGATATGGTAGAACTCGATCCACTCTGGCATAAAATGCACATGCCATCATTATTTGCCTTAAAATAGATATGTACCATAAAAACATGTACAGCATACAGTATTTCCTGGTATATGTCACGAATTCTCAATATTACTAAATGCAAACAAATTGCCATTCAATCTATCTTTATCGGCTGTGGTAGAGTTATACATAGACATTGTATATTCTCAGTATACGTATTACAGTATGCATGATATGTGCCATCCAATTCATTTTCTATCAGCTGCGGTAGACAAACATATTGCCATTTGGACAGAATTTATTATTGCATACTGCCTACAGTCGATACTGAATTCAGTGGTACTCTTTTACTGTAGTAAATAATGTATGTTCTGTTGTTTGTCTGTGTATCACTACATGTTATTATCTCTTCTACTTCTTCGCTGGATCGCTGACAATTAATGATCACACATCCTTTATCTTGAAATGGTAAATAACTAATGTACCATATTTTAATATATATATGCTGTATGCATATGTGTATGGTATGGTATATTTCCATGAGAATATTTGGCATTTTCTCAGTTGAAATTTATTATACAGGTATTTTTATAAATTCAACTTAAGGTCACTCACTCAACTGGTCAGAATGAAACAAATATGTCTCCAATCTTCCCTCCTGATCGGGTATACCTATCTACTGTGCAACCTAGCTGTCTTAACTTCAGATATTGTCAACATGTGCTAATATACATACTGAGATGTGAATTAACACATTTGCACTGTAAACACATGTTTTCATTACAATACAAAAACAACTGTTGTATATCATAATTTTAAACTTATTTGCATATATCTTATAGGAAGTATTTAGAAAATACACGAAGAGACAACATTTGCTGATAAAAAAATCTACAGAACGTTTAGTGATGACAATTAACATTTTAGAGAGTCAGTAGCTTTAGCAAACAGCATTTTTATTGTGAACCAATATATTTGTATATTGGCTCATGATCACAATGCCATTTCCTAACACAAAGTCCTAATTAAAGCTTAGAACACAATCAGGACGTGATTGTTTGACACATTCACCTCCGATATTTCATAATTATCTACTCCAACCTTTGAATCGGAAGAGTTCAAATGGGTCTTCAGGGGTGAATAAGCTAAAGTTTTATTAGCATAATATTATGAATGTTTACAGTTGAGTTTCAAATCAATGTAATAGAGGACTTTTGGATTAACTTGTCAATAAACGAACAAGATGTATAACGTATTCATGTCGAGCTTCCACCAATTGCAAATGTCACTTTGAAAAACTGGCTTCAGGGTAACTTAACACAAAATGTTCATCCAGTATGCATGATTAATTAAAAAGTATTGGAATTCAGAACCAGAACTAAATTTGAAGACCTTTAGGGATTCAAAATTATCACATACTGATAGAAACAGAAAATACAAACATAAATCTTCTTGATACAAAATGTATAATGATTAAAAAATCAGATTGGTTTTTTTCCTTGTTATATATTAATGACTTGTATATAACTGGTAAGCTATCAATTTAATAAGCCCTGGGCCTGTATTCATGAAACCATTTTCATGCTCAAGCATGGATTTTGTGCTCAAACCAACTTTCTTTAACCCACTTAAATCATGTAAAACGATCAAAAAGTCAAATGTAAATATTGAAAAGAGTATTTGGCTTTAAGTTTCTTATTTTTTCTCTCTCTAAATTATTGACAAAATTACATTTTACTATAAATTTATAAATGGAACATGAATTAGGCTTGAAAGCACAAAGTCAATGCTTGAGCATGAGAACGGTTTCATGAAAACCAGCCATGATACCCCCTTAACTACTAGATAAAAAGAACCTATCAAAATTCTATCATTTATGGTAAAGCTGATGACTACCATACCTGACTGTGTTTTACCAAGCATGTATCTATAGAATTATCAACCAGAACATCAATTCAACATCCCTCAACCCTGATCATCGCGTGACTCTGACCGTTTTCGGAGACCTTTGTAACTAATTGTCATTATTGATTGGTACCTTGTCTCATTTGTAACTCTATTCCTGGGTACGCACAACAGTAATTAGAGGCTGTAAAATCCATTCTGTGTAGATTTTTTTCTAATGACATTTGACGGGGTACATCCTCAAAGGACAATATAGGTCAAATCAATACATGTCATGCTTTGTTCAAGAAAAATACTTTGTAAATTGTATTCTGTAAAATGTAACACAATATAATTGCAGTCCCTGTGTTCTCATTCGAACATTCTATACAAATAATGCTATTTAAATATTTGCCAATTAATTGATTCTCCTTTAGAATCATATGGAGGTATACTTTATAATATTTAAGATAAGGGTCATTACCTTTTAACCAAAATGCAACCATTTAATCACTTTGGAAGGGTATAAAAATCAGCCTTTTCGTTTTCGATCCTATCAATAAGCACGTACATCAAAAAAAACTTGAAACATATATACAGATATATATATATGATGAACGGTACAATGTTTAGTATATGGCTGATTTTTTAACACTGATGTAATAAAATGAAATGTCTGTAAATTACTTTGTGTTTTGTTTTAAATATTTTTTTATCGGTAATTGTATTTAAAAAAATATAATTAAATATAGGCCTTTACATGTTAACAATATTAAAGCATGGTAATACACAAACACCATATCATGCTGCAATATCAAGAGGATGGAGGGACAGAAACAGTATCACAAATGTACGTAATAAAATAGCTGAAATTCCATTCATATTCGGTCTTACTGGATAAATGATGAAAGCTATCCACTTAAACTAACACAAATAAATACAATGAAAACGTAACCACGTCGGATGAAATGTGTATTCACAGCGAAAACAGTTGTTTTCAACATCACTCACGTCTAACATTGAGGGGCTCATCCCCGACATGGAAACACAATGTGGACGCACCTGTCCGATCAAAACCCCGGCCGACTTACCTGACATACAATACACATGTCCAATGAAAAACACGAGGAATAACCCGAAATGTATCTTCGCCATCTTACTGCCCCGTCATGTGTGGCAAAAAGGGTTATTTACAACAAAAATTGTCGCTTGTTTGTCCTGCTAATCTCTTAAAGCCTCCAATATGGCTGGCAATCGATTTTGTGTTATGATAATGTTTAAGAACCGTGACGTCATGAGCACTTCCGGTTCTGTGTTTCCCCATAAGCAAACTAACCAGCGAGGTGGATATGCTATCTATACCCTCTCTTTCGTTTTGAAATGGAAAACCCCCTGATATATTTATTTATATTTCACGTCAACTGTACAGTAAATTTAAATATACAAATAACACACATTTTCTATAAAATATCGCATTGACGCTTGAAAGATTTGTTATTTTAAAGCGCTTGTTAGATTTAGATCGCAGGTGAGAAAGGAGAGAATTCAGTTTGGGTTATCTCCCGTTTCATCGTTAGACCACAAGACTTTATTTCGTTGAAAATTCCACGTTTTATCACGGAATTACATTTAATCAGTGGTTTTATTTTTGGAGAAATAATTCGATCAGAAACAACTATTTTTGCCTTAATGCCTATTAAAGGATTATATAGTTTAAAATATCTGTTCAATTTTGTTATCAATAATTAATATAAAATATCCCTGACCATAAAACTACCAATGTAGGCTACGAAAAGACATTATTCCTCAATTTAAAAACACTTTTCAACTTTTTGAAATGTCTATGAGGGAGTTTCTTGATACTCTACATTAAAACATAAATAAAATGTGTGTAAACACTTCTTAGAGACTAAATAAGACTTTAATTAAAATGACCTATTTCTGTCTGTTATTTCAAGATGAAATTATTAGATCTGAGAATAGAGGAATACATTGTAGTGAAGAAATTCACTGATTAAAATGCTACATTTATGGTTCCAAAAAAGTGAGTCTCCCTCTTTAATAGGGAGAGTTGGCAAGTATGACTTTAAGCCGCCTCTCATAAAACATATTTTGCCCTTTTCCCTAAACTAACCTCCCGTTTTTGTGTGCGTGTGACAATTGTTTGCGTTCATTAATCGTGCTACCAAAAAAAAAAAAAAAAAAAAAAAAAAAAAAAGTGATAGGAATGATTAATTAAACTTCTCTTTTTCCCCAATTACCATATATCGTTATTAGTGTATTGCATAGAAGTATCACAGATTTTGAAGTGCGACCACCCGCCATCCGGCTCCTTTCATCTGAATTAGGGGTCCCCCTATCCCACACACACATACTAAAGCACTCAAGTGGGATCTGAGGCAGGGTTTTTGAACTGTATTCATGAATGACTTTTTCTTTTGCTTGAAATTCATGTTTAATACGTAACTCTCCAAATTCATATGATTAAAATATGAAGAAATCTCAGACTTTGATTCAGGGTTTTATGAAGAGGGGAGGGATTCATGGAGCAATATTCCCCTAGTCGGTGTTCTTAAGCGAAGCCCCGGTTTGGTTTAGGGAGAGGGGGTGAGGTGGAACCACTAAGAAGCTCTATATATAGAACTACAGCATTTGCTCCGAAAAAGAGAGTGACCTGACCCCAATAACACCGCCCTACTTTACCTTAGGGTCTGCTAATAAATTCAATAAGGTTAATTTATTTCAATTCGTAACAAGAGAAGAGAAAAGACACGTTCAGACTGGGGCTCGAACCCGGGACCCCCCGAACTCTAGAATGACCCTCTGCTTCGTCTAGTGTCCAGTTCCGATACATTTCTTCCTCCTTTTTTTAAGTCTTCACCCCCGAAGATTTCACTAGGTATGGGAATCCTCTAGCCAAGTGTGCATCTAATGCTTGAAACAAGGGTTGGTCACCGGCACTTCCTACTGCACAAAACAGGAGATGGAAAAATGCACGGCCAGACCGGGACTCGAACCGTCTGTTTAGGGTTGCATTGGCAAAAGAACAGGGTATAGGTAGGACATTTTTTGTTGTTTTTTGTATATTTTTGTGTACCATGTGGTCATGTGATTATGACCCTACTATTGTATGTAAAACAAAGAATTACATAAACAAGGTTCATTTGGAGGCAAATTGTGCTCCATATGCTGACATTTAGCGCCAACACAGAGTTGGAAGTCATTTTGAAAGGCAAGGAACCTTCTAAAATTCAAAAAATAAGCGGGTTTTTTTCTTCTTTTTTTTCATCAAAAAGTTTTGGGTCGGGGGTAAAAAGCTAGGGTCGGTCGGAAACCCTAAACAGACACCTTTTTTTGGCCTAATATAAAACTATAGTGCAACGGAGGGCGATTCTATATATATATATATATATATATATATATATATATATATCGCCAAGCGAAGGGAAGCGGGTTAAACAATAATGTCTGATGTTGGGATACTTATAATCAAGGGCTAGGTTCAGCCAACCCTCCCCCATTTTAAGCATTTTTGCCCCTATGTTACGGAATTAGATATAAAACCTAACTCATTACCTATTTGCAATAGGTACACTATAACCAGAACCAATCTGTTGACATCTGTTATCAAGAACTTTCAAATCATTCGAGTCTTGCCCAGACATCACTGGATAAAATCAACCGATGCTCTATAATTATAGAGAACCAAATTTAGTATCCACCCGTATTTAAATATGTGAACTGAATATACTTTCTGATAATCAAATCAATGTTGTGAGCACTAATTACTCTAATTGGGAATTTATGTATAATTTACTTTTTTCACCTCAACTATTAATGATTAATGTTATTCAAATGTCCATGTCCTTGTTAGAATTTGTTCAAACCGTATTGAGCTGACAGCAGAGGATTGTTTTTTAAATCATACAGTCTGTGTATCTGTGTTAAATCAAAGAACAACGGAGTTAACTCCCCTTGCGTAATAGACAGTCCAGAGCTAACAGGGATTAAACTTGATAGAAATCAGATCAGCTTAAAAATTACAAATTACATTATATGATTAGATACACAAACAATATCAGAATTGAGTTAAAAGAAATATTCATCTATTTCTTTGCGGTGAGGACCAGGGGAAGGGGGGCATGTGGTTTGGGTTTTAAATTAATTCAGTTATTTAACGGACAAAACACAAATGAATTCGCAAAATTGGCCAAATACATTAAAGCTGCAAATTCAAGAAGAGCTTTATTAACATAAGTAGTTATGCTCTCCGAGTGTTTTGTCTCGTCTGTGTATTTATTAGTATTTTCGATATTTGTCAATGTTATGAGAAAGTATATATATATATATATATATATATCATGTATATGTGTTACACTGATGAGTCGTAAGACTCAAAGTTAATAAAGAACTTGAACTTGAACTTGAACTTGGGTCATGTTTTTTTTCCAAACTTACAGACGTACTTGTTGTTATTGCTTATATCTTTGTAACTATATTATCACATACAATTCTTTTATTGGACCTTAACAGGGGCTGTAAAATTGAAATAAACAGCAAATTATGATAGCTCTGATACCACACGCAGCATTCTTTGGTCTAAGATATCTAGTATAGTAGCCACATTCAAAACGCTAAAATGTCAAAGATTCACGTAGGATGTTTCGCGTGTCAAAATGTTACATTCAAGTGTTCACATGATTCTATATCCAAATGTTGAATATAGGGTTTTTTTAAGAGGAAAAAGTGTTTGAAGATTTGGCATGAAATGAAAACTACGCCGTATGGGATTTTTAATTTGTTTATTACGGCTTAACGACCATTTGACTTAGGAAGGTCAATTTGGGCCTAATTTTGTTTTGTGTTTTACCTCCTATTAACAGCTTTGGTCATTTAAGGACGTGCCAGGTTTTGGTAGTAGAGGAAAGCCGGATTTCCCGGAGAAAAACCACCGACCTACGACCAGTACCTGACTACCTGGCGACTGCCCCACGTCGGCATCGAACCCGCGACCCAGTGGTGGAGGGCTAGTGGTAGCAGAATAACCACTGGGTCACCGCGGCCTGGGCCTAGAGGGTCAAGAAGAAACTCAGAAGACGTTACACACACACCATAGGTTACGAACATGTTAGAAATGGTAAAAATATTGAAATCAGTGGTGTACGAGTAGTGAAAACTCTATATTCCATCATACAGGCCAAGTTCTGGTATTTACCTAATAACAGAATGTTGTGCATTATTTCTTCCGTCCTATGTCAATAAGTCAATAAGTCTTTAGCAAATGGAAAATTCCGTTCCAAAGAGAATACATGTATCACAAAGAATATGAAATAAATGATTTTAAAAATAAAATATTATTTCTACAAAACTAACCACTAATCACAACGATTTAGAATATCCAGTAGTATACACGATAAAAATCACAATTGCGATATTTTTGCGATATGAATTACGATAATTTTTATGATACATTGCACTCCAAAAAATCAAAAATATATTCAATGGCGCGCATCGTCATGCGCCCGTATACATTTTACTTTTCAAAGAACTGCAATATCAAGTATTGTTTTAAGTTTAATTTTGTAAAATGCCTAGGTATTTCCCCTACTCGTATTAAAGTGACAGAACTTTCCTTCAAGGTTCCGCACTTATAGGGGTTATTTCCCTTCCAATAATCAAAACAACGTCAGCAGTTTTCAACAGTCACCCCTTAGACAAAAAGCCACCCCTTCGTTTCTATCAAACAGGCTGGTATATCTCTGCGGAAAATGATCATGACTTAATAAAGAATCTTGAGACATCGTTGGATATCACTGCAAAAAGTCATGTAGAGTAGGGATAAAACTCCAGCCTCAGAAATTCAGGGATGTCCTCTCTCTTTAAGGAGGCACGGTAGTCGAGTGGTAGGACACCGGGCTCGTGACAGAAGGGTTGCGAGTTCGAGTCATGGCACGGCACCGTGTTGTATCTTTGAGCAATATACTTTACTCCGCTTGTTCCAGTCTACTCAGCTATAAACGAGTATGTGGTTGGGCAGTGCTAGAATTGTTGAATGCTAGCTCTGAGTGCCGAAATGGCAACGGGTTACGTTCATGGCATAGCAAAATTCAAGACTTAGCGTGCGCCACCTTGTGGATGAGACAAGAAGTAGTGAAAAGAATATTGCGGTCGCATAACGGTAAAATTGACTGGCTTTGAAAACGAACGTCGCTCCTCTGTAATCTTCAAAGGACAGGTATCTACATAAGACTAATAACATAGATAGGTGCGTGCCTTCAATTTCGCAATGTTCCAGTGGTGCAGAGAGCATAAGTGAGCGTAATCTTTGAAGTATCGAGGATGACTGATGCTGTTAGGGCTTTAATGTTGCAGTTCTATGTTTTCCAAGACAAGATATCAACAAACTTAAGTGGTATGATTGGGAAAAAAGAGAGAAAAAAAAGATGTCCAGTCTTATCCTCACTTTAGTCAATACAAGACTTTGAAATTTCTCTAAATCTTTTGAGATATTTGTTACAATGCAACACTTGGTATCTTTGTCGCTTCCATTCTTTCCTGTCTCCGCCCTCCTTCCCTACTTTTCCGGTGATATCCCCCAGACACTCGCACTTATATGACCCTGGCTGTTGCGAGGACGTTAAATCACAAACATAATTTAACACAGAATAGGAACTACCCTTATAAAAGGCTTTGATATGTCCCGGCACGGGGACAGAGCCCATTGCCTTCCTCACCTTGGCAAACGTTCAACACTAAAGGCAAAAATATGTAGTTAGAAGTAAAGATAAATAAATATAATTGGTCGCTTTTGTGTTCCTCAGTATTGGCAGGGGGGAGGGAGGGGGACACGAATCGCCAATTCTGCCATGGGTTCTCACATCAGTCGCCTCTTACGATAATGCCGTGGTTATCCCGACCTGCAGATTTGAAGAAAAAGAAACAGAATACCTAAGTGTCAAGAAAACCATAATTCGAAATCACACGAAAACATTTTGTTAAAATATAAACAAACGAGGCGGATTCACACGGAGACCCTTTAAAATACAAGGGTAGTAAGACCAAGTGTTCTGGAAGGGTACGCGGCTTCTGCTTCATCGACGACACCCGCCATATGTATCTAGGCTAGAATCTCAAGTCCAAAACTCAGGAGGTGAACATATTAAGAAAAAGCCTTCATATCACACAAAGAAATAGCCTATTTCCCTACGAGATCACGGAGGAGACTATAAACGTGTCCGTAATCTTCTTCAACCTCCATATTCGGGAACCTTGTGTTGTCAGTTCGTCCACCACCAGTCGACATCCATCACGGAATTCATGATATTTGGAGCAAGCTGTCGGCTACCGAACCAACTGCAACTATCAAAAAGACACACAACTACAGGTATTCTTTGCATGGATTTATTTCCGGAATAACCAATAAAAAATAAGCCCTACAACATGAAACACATACATGTACAATACGTTAATAATGCCACCGTATATTCCTTAGAAATGATCACAAGAACACTACTTACCAGTATTCTAATATCTTATAGTAATTTACAGCTTTATACATATTTCATAAATGCATCATTAGGTTTGGTTTGTTTTATCTTGTTAAACGTCCAATTAACACCTAAGATAATTTAAGGACGTGCCTCCATGTGTGGGGTGTATGCGGTCACGTGTGTATGTGTGCCGGAGACAGGGTACATGTATGTTGATGTAATTGCCTCATTGTGATAGCGCGGATCTGATGCCGACTTTAAAGTGCTATCTCACTAAAATACCATGCCGAAAGCGCCCAGCACAGCATTCTGCCCGGTCACATTAGACTGACAACGGGTGAACCAGTTGTTGCTATTACTCTAAATGCTGAACGTTAAGCAGGGAATAACAACTACCATTTTTAAGGACTTTGGAATGTCCCGGCCTGGGGACAGCACCCATTGCCTTCCTCACCTGGGCGAAAGCTGAACATAAAAGCAAAAAGTGAGGTAGGCCTATTACCAAACAAGGCGCTAGGAAATAAACGGCAGTTATAAGTAGAGAGAAATATATAGATCCCAAATATTGCAATGAATGCAGCAGATTTATTTTGGTCGTTTTTGTGTCCCCAAAAAGGAGGCACAAAAGTAAATCCTCAATTCTGCAGGGGGTTCACACACAAGCCGCCCCTTACGATTGCAGTGTGTCTATTCTTTTCTCGATCCCTGACCTGCAGGGGACTAATCATTAAATACACAACATTAACATACAATACAGGACATGTACATTACAATACATAATTTTATTGCCTTATGTCAATGTAGAGTATTATTTTTCATATACAAATAACACAACTTAGAAAACACTGTACAATATGGGATCGATACTATGAATCTGATTTACTTTGAAATAATAAATTTAACATGCACCAAAAACATTCAAATATTTGAAAAAATAACTACTTCAAAATTAACTTATTCAACTAATCACAATGTTAATATTATTCTGATAAACAACGTACTTAATTATTATTTTTACTAAACGTAGCTTACAAACGTGACTCTTACAAACCCCCAACTTTAATTCAAACATCCTCTTCGTGTACTCACAAAATAACGCTTGAATGCATACGGACACGTATAGATAACATGTAAAATATACAAAACAAAATCTCTTACATTAGAACTTCCGGTACACTTGTTTAATCCGGAATACATAAACTTCCACGTGTATTTGTTAACAAGTTGCAAGTGGAAAGGGATGGTGTTAGCTACACCATAGATAATCTGGATTTTCGATTTTATAAACTACTCATTTTGTTCTGAAAATCCGGGATTTATGTAAATATACTTTAGGTTTGAACAGCTAATGAAGCAATTTAAGGACGTGCTTCCATGTGTGTAGTGAATGTGTGCTGGACGCGGTATGTTGGTGTATTTGTCTACATACGATAGCCAGATTGGATTCCCAGTTTGTGCTACTTCTCTGAAACATCTTACCAAAGACACCCAGCACATTATTCTACCTGGTCACTGTTTCGCTTATCCTGAATGTTGAACGTTTAGCAGGGTATAACAATTACAATTTTAAAGACTTTTGTTATGTTCTGGCCTACGTTCAACACCAAGGACAAAGTTGAGGATTTGCCAGACAATACGCCATTAGACAAAACCATTGTTAGGAGGTATAGTGATAACATATAACTAGAAAATGTCTGTAAGACATGAATGCCCCCGTCACCATGTGAAATGAGTGACATGAGCAACACTATATGCCATTCCGTTGTGTATTGTTATATATGAACATTATAATACCTTAATTAGGACATGTGGTTATATTGTTTAGCTGTTGTGATCGATGTGAATTCATAGACCTAAAGCATCCGTTCACTTCAATTCCCATTAGTTGAATCCTAATAAATATCATTTGGTACATGCTTAATTTTAGTGATGCATGCAAGAGATAATGAGTTCGTTCAACCTTGAACATAATTGCCGATGCGCAAATAACATCATTTCTATACGGGGATTATCCTAAAGTTGTTCATTTATGATGCAATACTATGAAATAATCTGTTATTTGATTGGTTTAAAGGGTATATCGTCCTATAACCAGCTTAGGCATATTGAGGTCATGCCTCTCTGTGTATGTAATATATGCCTGTCTGCTGAAGGCGTTTGGTTTGTTTTGGTTATTATTGGGTTATCATTCAATTCGAGTCCTTTAAAGACGTGCCTCAATGTGTATAATGCATGCGTGTATTTATGCTTAAAGCAGTATGTTGGTGTATTGCCTTGTTGTGATAGCAACGGGTAAATCAGGTTCTCCCAAAAAGCTGAACGTTTAGCTGGGAAAATACTGCCATTTCTAAGGAATTTAATATGTCCCGGTTTAGGGAAGGATTGGTTTGGTATGGTTTATTTTTTTACAACCAAGGTTATAAACGGACGTGTCTCCATGTGTGCAATGTGTGCATGCAGGTTAGTATGTCTTGTGATAACGGTATGTCAGTGTACTAGTGTACCTTGCTACCGTGCGGATCCGATTCCAACATTTAGGGTGCTACCTCACTGAAATGCCATGCCAAAGGCACCTAGCACAGTATTCCGCCCGGTCACACTATACTGACAAGGGTCGAATGAATTGATATCATTACTCTAAATGCCGAAGTCTTAGAAGGAAATAGCAACTACAATTTTAAAGGTCTGGGGACAGAAACCATCGCTTTTCTCACTTGGGTGAACGTCCACCAGCAAGATCATTGTCAAGGCACTAAAGACAAAAAGAAAGCTGTTGGGAAATCGAATAAAAATAAAAAGATACCAAATGTTTCAATTGAGGGGCAGCAGATTTATCTTGAAGTGGAGGGTACAAAAGCAAATCTGTAGGGGGGTCCTCACATTAGTGAGGGCAAGAGTGGTTGCATTATTTCTCATAATGGACGTTATTCCACTCACACGAGAAAAACTTATTCTGATTGTACCTGTGGCTTAACTTGCAAAAAACCCCAACAATTTACAATACTTCATACACACATATTACATTTTCTACTCCAACTGCAAGGTATGTTTCTGAATCGCACTGGTTTGCCGGTATCTTGCTATGGGATGCTTCAACGAACACGCCATCTGCCCAACACTCTCCGTAAAATTCTATACCAAAATATCTGTACGAGTTTGTGTACGCCAGACCTGCACAACCTTCTATTATCGGTTGCATATTGAACCAATCTATTTGCTCGTCACGGTAATTGTGTAGAAGTGTTCCCATTGTTGTTCCTGGTGAATGTACGCATGCCACAGGTGAAAATCGCACAGTTGTGGAATTGAAGATAACCTCTGAAATAAAAGACGAAAATGGATACACTAACATTTATATACATATATATCAACAAGATCGGTTTGGTTGTATTTTGTTTAACGTCGTATTAAATCTATTTGAGGACGTTATCAAACAAGAACAAAATATACAGCAATACCAATACACATGACAAAATATAAGATTATGTTACAATCAAGTTTGTTAGGTTTTATTTTGTTTCACGTCCTATCAATAGCCAAGGTTATTTAAGGTCACTGAATACCTTCCCGAAGGCACCAAGCTCAGCATTTTACTTCATTATACTAACAACGAGTGAACCAGTAATTGCCATTACCTTAAATGCTGAACATTAAGCAGGGCTTAACAAATATTATCTTTAAGGACTTTGGTATGTCACGGCCTGGGGACAGAACCCATTTCCTTCCTCACCTCGGCACACAATCAAATATACACAACATGAAATCATACAGCAAAATCTTCCAAAAAGTAAACAAACAGTATACCATAGCGTCATGCATCAGCACACACGAATATGATACATCACAGCATCAACACACAAACAAACTGAACCACAGCGTCAACACACAAACAAACTGAACCACAGCGTCAACACACAAACAAACTGAACCACAGCGTCAACACACAAACAAACCGAACCACAGCATCAACACACAAACAAACCGAACCACAGCATCAACACACAAACAAACCGAGCCACAGCGTCAACACACAAACAATCTGAACCACAGCATCAACACACAAACAAACTGAACCACAGCATCAACTCACAAACAAACTGAACCACAGCGTCAACACACAAACAAACCGAGCCACAGCGTCAACACACAAACAAACTGAACCACAGCATCAACACACAAACAAAATGAACCACAGCGACAACACACAAACAAACTGAACCACAGCATCAACACACAAACAAAATGAACCACAGCGACAACACACAAACAAACTGAACCACAGCAACAACACACAAACAAACTGAACCACAGCATCAACACACAAACAAACTGAACCACAGCGTCAATACACAAACAAACTGAACCACAGCGTCAACACACAAACAAACCGAACCACAGCGTCAACACACAAACAAACTGAACCACAGCATCAACACACAAACAAACTGAACCACAGCGACAATACTGATGGACAAACTATACTCCCCAAAAGTGACAGCGAGGCATGCCTTGTGAAATGCCACTAAATACTCATTGAGTAGTAGCTTAACGGTACGTCCATAAAAGAACCTACATGTAGTTAGTTATAGGATTATTAATGTCCCATCAACACAAAGGAGGTCATAAGGACCAATAAGAGTAGATAAAATAGGTGAAAGGAAACGACAACAAATTAACGGAAAGGTTCAAGACAAACGTCCATCTGAATAATAAAAGTAGCTGAGGTTAGTTATATCCTTTCGAACAGACCAACAGGTTTTAGGTAGGTTAAACTTGTAGAGATATTGACTGTTTAACATAACGAGGGAATTTCTTTCTATATGGAAGCGCACAAGAGCAAACGTTTTACTTTTTTGTACACTAATGATTAAAATTCATATATTTGCATTGTATATTAGAAAATTAACACTTAATTTCAATACGCACTAAGATTATTTTTCATTTGAAAACAAAAAGTTTGTCGTGATAACCCTAAATTACTTCTGGTAATATAACCTACCCGACACAGCCGGGAGCACATTGGTACATCCATTCGTCGGGGAAAGGGGCGTGGCTGACGGAACAGTGGTAAGGTCATACAACACACACGTGTACGTGGGGTATAGATCAATGTATCGAAATTCACATACGTGTGTCTCCGGACAGGTGTGGTGTTCACAAACACCAAGAAGGAGCTGAAATTAAAGTTAAAATATCTTAGACCATTTTGTGCATAAATTCGTTATGATTACAGCCATGTCCGTCCATTCGTTGTAAAAGACACATTCAGTTGTCAATACTCCTCTGTTTCCATCCATGTAAACCCCTCGAAAGGAGGTCGCGCATGGGATGTATTTATTTATTAAGTTCTTGGTCTGGTTTGGATTTATTTCGTTTAACGTCCTATTAAAAGCTAGGGTCATTTAAGAACGTACCTCCATGTGTGTTGTGTGTATGTGTGCTGGAGACAGGGTATGTTGTCGTACTTGCCTTCTTGTGATAGCGTGGATCTGATGCCGACTTTATATTAAGTTCTTAATGGCTCATCAACACAGAGGAATTCTTTAGGGCCAGTAAAAGGTACATTAAAACACGTAAAAGGAAATGGCATCAAATAAACAAACAAATAAAAAGACAACCCGAAAACGAAAGTTGCAATAATTAGCTATTTTTGAAGAGACCGACAGATCTTTAGGTACGTAAGAGTTGCTGCAATATTTCCCGTTTCGAAGAGAGATTTGAGATATGTTATATCACTGTAAAATGTTTCTTTTGTTGCCTGAAGGTTAATGCAACCTAGTAACAGGTGCTTAACTGTAAAAGGTTCGGGAAATGATATGTACCGAGGTTGGTCTTGCGTTACAATAGATACGAATGAGTAATGTACGGAGATGGGCAAGGACAGCCTCGTCTCGGGTGTTTTCACTTAAGCATGGATACCATACATTGATTTTAGATATATCATCACAATTGTACTATTTATATATTTTATACCTGGCGACTTCATTCCCGCTAGGATTTTAACCAAAATTTACATATTGCTCATATACTCTAAGCCTCGAAAGAGATAATCAAAGTTACCGTTACTTTTGTAGGAAATCGTTGCCATCGAGCAAGCGAATTAATTTTTGAAAAGTATGAGCTAATCTCCATGTGTTAATGAGTGATAAGGTCAATGCGACCATTACATTTTAAAGTTGTTTTTGGTCAAAATAATAACATTTTTAGCATAAAGCTAATAGTAGCAATCATACACTGCATACATAGGACAACTTCTCTAGCCATATCACGCATCTTAAACTGATACATTGCAATATTAAAAAAGTCATTTTAATAATAATAATAATAATAATAATAATAATTGGAGGTTCTTATATACCGCTTTATCACAACCTAGTTCGTAGGTCGTTTCAAAGCGGTTCACGAATTATTATCCGTGGTTATAGGGCCTTTGCAACCAGCCAATATCTTTCTCAACTGCCATTTCGGCGCTAACAGCTAGCATTCAACAATTCTAGCACTGCCCAACCACGTTCTCATTTACAGCTGAGTAGACTGGAACAAGCGAAGTAAAGTATCTTGCTCAAAGATACAACACATTGCCGTGCCGTGGCGCGAACACCAATACTGTAGCTGCTAACGAAGTGAAATAACTTGGGCAATTAAGAAATAACTCACATATTAACAAGTTCCAAATCTCTGACAATAACAAATCTTTTTAAAAGTATCAATTGTCTAGATATGATTTTTTTTCCACATTAATTTTATATTTTCTCGAAAATGCCGTGTTATCCTGCTTGGGTACCAGGTCATGTTGGAATCTGTTGCAATAAAGAGCTTATGAGGAGGTAAAATGTGTGCTTTAACAACAGCACACCGATATGAAATTCCAAATTCAGATTTCAAAGCGTATTTATTGATTCCTTAAACCCTTTCAACCCTATGTAACTTTAGTAAACTCTTCCATGCATTGATCTGGATGAGTCCATTATGGTCTACAGTGTTGAAAGGGTTAAAATATAAATGACACCACGATTTATGGAGTGTAATAATGTCAAACTTGGGTATAGCCCAACTTTATTACGTAAAATAAGTCATTATCATAGGAACAATAGGAAATAGAAGGTAGTTTTGGTCAGAATCAAACACGTATCATGCATACTAGTCCGAATTATTCTGACGTTTTATCGACTTTTTTATATCGGTCTGTCGTCGTTTAATCGACGACAGACCGATATAAAAAAAAGTCGCTAAAACGTCAGAATAATTCGGACTACATTCATACGTAACTCATACATTCTTTAAAGGTGAAGGCCAACCTTATTACTTCGATTGTGTCGCTTCATTGTCATTGTAAAGTAACACAAAACTGGTTCTTTATATTTATGTCAGTGTAAAGAACATAAAAGTACTAAAAAAGATATCATAGAAAGAAATTTTAAAAATCAACATATGGATACAGTAAAGTCATTTTTGCGGAGCGTTCTACTTTTTCTCTGCCATTTTAGTGAACATTTGTATCGAACTTGGATATCTATAAATAGCTAAGGTCACTAGCAATAGCGTGGGTCTGATACCTATTTTAGGGGGCTAACTCACGGACATGCACAGGAAATTGTAATTCGTTGGTGATACAGACGTGTACTCGACATCGTGCTTATACATCCTGTTTCTGTTTGTCACAATATCCTATCTCTTCAAAGTTGATGTTCTCTATTTAAGTGCGTTGAAGAATTAATGTTCTATTAATTTTCTCCTGTCAGGCGCGTAGCTAGCCCCTGTACCGTGTGTAAGCCCGACATGGGTGTTGCCGAACGCTACGCGCTTCGAGCCTCGCGCTTCGCGGGGAAGGTAACGGTAGGGGGTCTTCCCCCTCCCTTTAAGGGGGGTTTGGGGGGTCTCCCCCATGAAAATTTTGTTTTCTGGAACGTCTCAGAAGCCATTTCCCACGTCCTGATGTCTGTTTTCTCGTTTTAATCCGCTAGAAAAGAGTCCTATTTTTTTGTATATATAGAGAGATGCCTAGTTACAGTACGTGGTCGAGACCTGCACCCAGCTCAATGTCAGGATCAACAACCACCGCTGCTCCATCAAGCAGAACAAACCAGACTTTCCTGTGGCAAGGCATTTTAATATGCCTAGCCATAGTTGGAAAGACATGCAGGTTGTTGCCATAGATCATTGCCCTACATGGGATGAAACGAGACGACGCACGAGAGAACGGTTTTGGATCACCAATCTACAAACCCGCTACCCTCGAGGTATGAACGAACGATAGGCGGTTGCCATCCGCTCGTTTTCCTTCCAGGAGGCATTTGACCTAATGATTCATTACTGCACAGTTGGTCTGCTATCTCGCCTGCCTGCTGCTTCATGTCAGTGTGTGTGACCAACAGCCGTTGTCAGATTTATTTTGCAGATTTATACAGTATCTTAGCCATTTTATCTACTTATTACTCCTGCACTCACTTATTTGATAATTACATGCATAATTCCTGCAAACCAAAAGAGGCGACTAAGTGGGACCCCCTTCTGTGACTTAGATCCATCGCAGTATTGAGAGGCGACTAATGAGACATTCCGTAGCAGATTTGAGATTTTTCACATTTACCGGGCCAGATTTCCAAATGCACATGTTCCACGTTTTTGATATCTCTCGTTGACTCACTTTATATGACAGTGCATCTTGCGCAAGAATAGGTCCTCTACATCAGCGTTCCTTGTCCGCGATGCTCTCAGCTTAATTGCTGCCTTCGGCTGTCTTTAGCCGAGGGGACTATTGGTTTTATATAATAGCTTTATTTTCAATTATAGTATATCAATTCTCTCTTCTTGTAATATGATGTATATGTACATGTAACTGTTCTGTTTCACTGTGTCTTGAAAAAGGAGCGGATCGCTCCGAAAATTTGACAACCTAAACTTGTCCACACTGTTGGAATTACTTCTTTGCCCCATATATATATGCCTATGTAGGTGGATCCAGTGTAATTCTGAAGATTAACCGTCGGTATTGCTTTGTACACCCTCCATACATACATTGTCTGGTTTTTACCTATGTATACTATATATTCAAAACTTAAACTCCACTTTATAGTACCAGCAAGAAAAAAAACTGTCATGAAAACCTATACTTGTCAAAATCATGTGCAAGCCCGGGCTTATTGGCTTACATGGTAGCTACGCGCCTGCCTGTGTTGGTACTTCGTTAATAGACCGAAGCTTGATACAATCTGGTAATAGCTGCTATTCCTAGTTGTTCAAAAACAGCAGTTCCCATTTTCATGTCATAGACCAGTGATTTTTGTACTGTGGGCAATATGTATCAATATTATTCAAAGCTTATCTAAGGTTCATCTGACTTTCCTCTCAATTAACTGTTATGCGTCATCAGTGGCTATATTCTTTACAAACATCTATGCTATTGATTGAAGGGCAAGGTTTTAGATTTAGGATACTACTGGGAAGCACGTGTTGTTCATTGCTTTTTCAATTATCTATACGCAGAAAACAACAGAGGAAACCCATACATTATGCAAAGGGCCCAGGTTAGTTACCTCTGACGATAACGTGCGATGGGATACATCTGGCTTATTCTTTTCCTGAATCGGTAATATACATATCTCACATACCATAGAGATACATTGATTCTTTTTGTTTAGTGTTTAATGTCCTCGCAACAGCCAGGCTCGGTTTGGTATTCGTGTGCCTGATAAAAGATATGGATCACCAAGTGTTGCAGTGTTTGGTTTAGTTTATTTTGTTCAACGTCATATCAACAGCTAAGGTCATTTAAGGACGTGCCTCCACGTGCATTGTTTATGCGTACTTCTTGCCTGTGTGTGTGTGTGTGTGCAGGAGGTAGGGTATATTGGTGTATTTGCCTCCTTGTGAAAGCGCAGATATGATGCCTACTTTATAGCGCTATCTCACTGCAATACAATGCCGAAGACACCCAGCACAGCATTCCACTTTGTCACATTATACTGACAATGGGTGAACCAGTTGTTGCCATAACCCTCAATGCTGCACGTGAAGCAGGGAGGAACAGCAACCTTGTATAAAGGCTTTGGTGTGTAACGGCCTGGGGACAGAACCCATTGCCTTCCTCGCCTAGGCGAAGGTTCAACATTAAAGCTAAATGTTGCTAAGCAAGGCGCTAGGAAAAAGAAGGCAGTTACAAGTAAAAATAAAAAAATAAAAATTCAAATATTGCAATGGGATTTGCCAAGTTCTGATAGGAACTGATGTCGCATTTAGAGTGCTTTCTCGATGAAATACCACGCCTAGCACACTATTCCAGCTTGTCACAATACCCTTAATGCTGAGTGTTAAGCAGGTAATATCATTTACCCCTTTAAAGGACTTTTATATGTCCCGGCCTAGGAAGGAACCAACTGCCTATCCAACTTGTACGAACGTTCTACACTAAGACCAAAAGTAGAGATTGCCATGGAAGGTTTCAGGAAACAAAAATGGTTTGGAGGAAGTAGAGAGAAAAGACTAGGATCCCATACGTTGCCTTGGGACAGCTGATCAATTTGGTTTGTTTGTTCAATAGCCCCATTGTAGAAGAATTATTTTTTTCGATATTCCATGGGACACAGGTCTATTCTCCCCCGAACCTACAGAACTTCTGTAGAGTTTTACATTTTCGCAATTGGATAGGGAAAAGATAAAGATCCCAAGAGTTGTTGTCACCCAAGGTCATAAAAGACGGTGCTGACGTTCGCTAGAAAGGTGATTTGGATCCATCCCCTGGCCGAGACGAAACTTAGTAGTTAATATTGGCCCTATCACAGTATAATGTGACTGAATTCCTACACTTTTTGGTTATACACCAGTAGCTGGCACCGATTAATAACACATTTGGTCCCTGTAGCCTTGAAAGTGGGTCAATGTCATTCATTCGAACAGACTATTCCGTCTTTGCGTTTTGCAGAGTTATCTTCTCTTGGGAGCAGGTATTGATTGTTACGTCACTTGTTTGTGAGAGTAACGCCATCAATTTTTGAGAAAACGACGTAATTTTCTCGCACAAACCAATGACGTAGCAATCAATACCTGTTCCTAAGAGAAGATAACTCTGCAATACGCAAAGACGGAATAAGGTCCTTCATCCAAGCATGCCACTTCTTTATCTTACATACCTTGTGCATTTTCATTTAGATAATCATGCATTTACTGATTATTACGAACAATGCCGAAGACTATTTTATTAAATCAATGAAGATATATTCATGACTACTACCATTCAGTACAGATCGTAACAAAACTTCTCAGGAAATTTGTAAAGCATAAGTAATGTACTGTTGGAATAGCTGTTATTGTACTGATTCATAGCCCATGCTTTGCTTTTATGGGGCTTTTGATTATTGCAGATATTTATACCTAGTAGCCTGTAGTCTTATAGAACATTTGATATTTAACATTTATACCCTATATATTGAGTTACCATATGGTGAATATGCGATCGCAATCGGATCCCATTAAACTGATTGCATGGTAAAATCAGTACTTGAATCGTTGGGGAATAAACTTTCTTTGAATTATTCAATGACGAGATATTGCCATGCAAACTTAGTTGTAAAATCTATGAAATTGTAATAATAAAAGTGCATTGGATCACAAAAATGCGTTACATTATCCCCCACTTAACGAAGTGCCCTAAACAGGTCCAAAGAAAGAATAGACTTTTATCCAATACATGTTTCAGAAGTTTTCTTATCATTTGATTTGTGGTCATCCCACAAAACAACATCTACATTAATTTGTTTATCATGTCTTAAAGCCCTATCCATTAAATATTGCTGCCTGCTTTTTGTATAGCTGTAACAAATAAATTAAGATACGGAACTTATCTTAAACAATGCACTCACAAGAACAGTGCGGCGACTCAATCAAGCTTTTGTCAATTACACCTTGGTAAAGTTAACTACATGTGGCCTTAACGATTGCCTGCGTAAAATAAGTTTGTTGTATTGCAATTGCTGAAGGCCTTTCTTTGTTGTTTAAGGGTAAATTGTTCTAAATGCGAGTATATGAAGGTAACAGCTAGTCTTGTTAATAAGATTGTTCGAGTTAGTAGAGTTTGGGCAAGTCAGATCTGTTAATTTCGGCAGACTATTTGATGAAGAAATATAAGTACCAGAATTGAACATACCTCAGGCCAACCGTCGATGATGTAATACTGTGATGATATGGATGGCAAAAGTGACAGTGGCTTGGTCAAATGGTCTTCATAGTTCAAATCACAAAGTTCAAGGTCCCTGTTATAGTTTATCGACCGACACTTCCGATGGAGAAGGCAGTATTTTGCACATATTTGGACGTTTCGTACATTGCTTACTTGGCGATAGGCATATCCATTTAAGGTTTTACCATCCTGGGCAAAATTAGACAGGAGAACCGTAACCGACTTGCATTGAGCATGTACACTATATATATTGTTAACCACACAACACAGCAAAAGTACGTTATTGATAAAAACACCAATCTTGAAGACCATTGTAATTTCAGTACCTCGTTATAATTTCGATACGAACGCGAAAATCAGATATTCAATATGGCATTGATGCAAACAGGAAGTTGATGTTTTCAATATAGCTCTAGTGGCATGGACTCTTAATACGAAAAACAATGTAAGTGTTTAAAAAAAGAAAACATCTTTTGACCTGTAAAATAAAGCAAAAATACTCCATTGTCGGAAACAAAAAGTATGCGCCAAAGCCTAAATGTTTCCTCGGTCAGATCCCAAAGTAATCCAACTTTCCTCAGTCAAATGGTATTATTTGTGCTCCATTGGAAATCAACGTTTTTCCACAGAAGGAAACTTCAGCGAGAGATATATATATGTCTTACAAATCAACTCTCCAAACAAATTGAGCAAGGATATTTTTCCTCAGCCGGAGCAATTTTAAACGAGTTTGCGCCTGTTTCATAAGTAAAATTCTTCAGTCTTAACACTTTAAACAAGACAATTTTCACACAAATATTGAACTGATACACTTTAAATGAGATGGTATCTGTGCACCAATAATTCAAATGGCATAATACTACAACAAAGTCTAAACACCTTCAAATAGGAACAGCATAAATTCTACTGCGCCCGGTTACTAGAACATTAATTCCAGACAAAATGAATTTGACATCGTTGACATCGTTGACTTTCTATGACGAAATTGAGTTTGAGAACCAAATAAAACAGCATTATGCACTGCTAATGGCATACCAATTGTATTCGCGACTGGCGTATTCAATCATCTGTATTGTCCTTTAGAACCATTACCTGTGTCAGTCAGAAGTGAATCGATTCCAGACAGACAGCGTGGTTATACTAGTGCTTATGTATCCGAGAGACACACTTCAGGCTATACTAACGATTGGTTATAGTCAGTCAATACCCGATGGAATACAGATTGCAATATGTCAAAATAACAAATATGTTTTATGTTTAGATCTTCGTACCCGATGGAATACAGATTGTATTAACAGGTAATGATTTAGAGCGTGTGTTAGGTTTACCTGTTACGAATTAAATGAGGAGGAGTAAAGAGTCATATAAAGAAAATCGATATTTGATCAGCAAATTGCGAAATTCCTTCATTAATGAGCACATTTTCATGTTGCTGTAATTTTTTATTGATGGAAGTTTTTGTTGATATAATAAATAGTTGATTACAATATATAATTATCTCTGACATACAAAATTACTACACTAATGGAAATATTGAGTTTTGACCCTTAGATTAAGTTGAGCAGAGAAACTTGTTAATCATGATGTTGGGTTTATGTTTTCAACTGTATTCTTATAGATATTAAGTTAAATTCAACATGAGACAAATACACACGCAACTTATCCCCACTTTCACTTTCACACAGAGTAGAAGCACGGTAGTCGAGTTGTAGGACGCCGGGTTCTTGACTGAAGGTATGCGAGTTCGACTCTCGTCACGGCACTGTGTTGTATCTTTGAGCAAGATACTTTACTCCGCTTGTTCCAGTATACTCAGCTGTAAATGAGTACGTGGTGTGGTAGTGCTAGAATTGTTGAAAGTGCCGAAATAGCATCACCGACTGTATGCTCTCCAGGGAGTTGTGAAAGATATTGGCTGGTTGCAAAGGCCCTATAACCACGGATAATAATTTGCGAACCGCTTTGAGACGACCTACGAACTAGGTTGTGATAAATCAGTATATCAGAACCTCGAATTATTATTATTATTATAAGAAGGTTCATCTTCAAGGTATTTTCACGTTTACGTAAATACAATGATAACATCATTTTGTGGCTGCTTCATAGTTTCGTTGGATTATGCATCAAACACCAAAACGTGGATAATATCCTGCTATTCGGGTGGCGTGATGCCCTTTAGCGTGTATCCCCGCTTTTGTTAGGAAACGAGGGATATTAATTTGGTGTCTGTCTGGCTAATTGGTCGGATTTAAACCTAATGTCCTCGCAACAGCCAGAGTCATATGAGGACGGGTGCTTGGGGTAAATGTAGACATGTAATATATAGGCGAAAAGGTCAAATTAGTTTTAGTGAAATTTGCTTTATTAGGTAAAAACACCTTAGAAGAATACCGAAGTATCAACATGACCACACTATAAAGCTTGAAAAGGTACAAAATAAAACCAGGTTAGAGGAAGGTTGTTTAATACCTTCCAGTTCTAGGTGGCCGATTACAGTTACAATGTAAACATATCAAGAACGCGCCCGGAGTGAAGATGCGTCACATGAACTTTGGTTCAAACAACACTTTTTTCTTTCTTTTTTCTTTTCTTTTTATCTTTGTTTGATGTCATTTCCTTTCAAATATTTTATCTACTTTTTATTTGTATTTATGACCTTCTGTGTTGAGTATAGGCCAAACAGAACATAACTGCATGTCGTAAGAGGCGACTAGTGTGGTGCCCAATGCAATAGCGGGGATGCTTTCACCCTGGCCTTTTTTTCCAGGATGCTTTGATTTGCCAAGGTGGAGACACCTGATAAACTGATTGTATACCGTAAGAAGCCAGTAGAATCAGGGTCGTTGTTATTATTTCGAACTACTGCAGGTCGGGGATCAAGAAAAGAATACACCTGCTTGTATCGTAAATGGCGACTTATATGGGAACCCCCTGTATATTTTGGGATTTGCTTTTGTGCCCTCTACTTGGGGACTGAAAAAACGACCAAAATAAATCTGCTGCAATCATTACAACATTTTGGATCTTTTTCTTTCTTTCTACTTCAAATTACCTTTGTTTACCTAGCGCCTTGCTTGGCAATACCTAACTTATTGCTTTAATGTTGAGCGTTCGACCAGGTGTGGAAGGCAATGGGTTCTGTTACAAGGCTGAGACATACTAAAGTCTATAAAATGGTAGTTGTTATTCCCTACTTATCGTTCAAAGGAAAACTCTAAAGGAAAAGGCAATAACTGGTTCACCTGTTGTCAGAATAATGTGACTAGGCGGAATGTCGTGTTGGGTGACTTCGGCATGTTATTCAGTGAGATAGCATTATAACGTCGGCATCAGAACCGTGCTTTTACAAGGAGGTAAGCACACCAACATACCCTGTCTCCAGCACACATACACACTTGCACGCTTACACAAGACACATGAAGGCACGTCCTTTATCTGACCTTAGATGTTAATGGGACGTTAAAGAAAATAAAACCAAGTTTGATTTGATTTAGTATTGTTCAACGTTCTATCAACAGCTATGGTCATTTAAGGACGCCCCCCACCCCCACCCCCTGTTTGCAAGATGCATGCGTGGAGTGTATGCGTGTGTGTTTTGGGAGGCTGCGATGTGTTCGTGTTTGCCTCCTTGTGATAGAGCCGAACTGATGCTGACTTATAGTGCTACCTCACTGAAACGTACTGCCGAAGACACCCAGCTGGACACCCCACCCGGTCACATTATACTGACAACGGGCGAACCAGTCGTCCCACTCCTAAATTGCTGAGCGTTAAGCAGGAGAAGAGACTACCATTTTTACAGACTCTGGTATGTCTCGGCCAGGGGACAGAACCCAATGCCTTCCTCACAGGGGCGAACGCTCAATTAAAGGCCGAAAGTGAGACATAGTCAAGGTAAACATTAGGAAGGAGAAAGTTGTTCAGAAAGAAGAGAAAAGAAAAGATCCCAAATTTAGTCGCCCTTTATTTCCTCCACTTAGAGATCATTAACGAGACTAAACATGATCTGCCGCCCCCATGACACATATTTAATTAGAGCTCGTATAGCTATCTTTCATTTCTTTGCTATCTCCCCGGCGGTGTATCCTACTGCACCCGTCCTTATATGTTGTCATGACATTAAACTCCGATTCAAAACGGTATGAGCTTCAAAGATCCGTCCGATCCTATACGTAAGGTTTAGGCAACCACGGGTTCGATTTTCGCCTCATTTACCGTCCTATAGGTATTAGTATAATCCCCCAAATAACCATGTCAATTTAGTTCATTCAATGCTATGCAATTGTTTCTCCTTATATCTATTCACATGAAACTAAATCAGCTTAACTTGAATCGGTTGGTTATTTAGACCTCTCGGATTGTCAACCGAAAGGTATCGATCCACTTTCTCTAATTACCCACCCCCAGGTGGCAACAACAAACACCCATAGGCTGTTCACAACGCACCGGCCTGTACCAGTGACTGTTTAATCATTAATAATAATTTCAAACAACATTTTACAACAATTTGTCATGTATATTTTATCCTACACATCTACAATGTATCTCCTTGACATTAACCACTATTTTTTCAGAAAAATAAAATGTTCTATACCTCCGTCCTGACCAGTGCGTTGACCTGAACTGAGGTCCCAGCAACACTTGCTGCACGTGCTACACATGCCCTACATGTGTCGCCACCTATCGGGGTACCATTAGAGAAAACAATTTCGCGCTAATTCCTTGTAGTCAACCGCGCGAAATATAAATTCTTTTACATTTATATATAAATATATTATGTTTCTCTTTACATATTTGTAGTTAAATATTTATACCTCAAATATGGGTTGCATATCAAGTCACGCTTGCTGGAGAAAAAATGTTGTCTTGATACTATTTTATAATATGTATATTAAAGCTACATCATTTTTTACACGCAATTAGAACGATCTAGCTTTATTTATTGGATTAGGTATCCTATCAACAAGTTGTGTTTTGAAACAAAGTGTTCTAAATTCCTGTTTCACAATACCTCACAGTTCGCCTAATTGTTTTGGTATTATTTTGTTTACCGTCCTATTCCGTCTTTGCGTATTGCAGAGTTATCTTTTCTTGTGAGCAGGGATTGATTGTTACGTCATTGGTTTGTGTGAGAAAATTAAGTCGTTTTCTCAAAAATTGATGACGTTACTCTCACAAAAAAATGACGTTACAATCAATACCTGCTCACAAGAGAAGATAACTCTGCAATACGCAAAGACGGAATTAACAGCTAAGGCTATTTCAGGACGTGCTACCGTGTGTGCCGGAGGTAGGGTTTGATGATGTATTGACGTCCTTAGAGTGCTACCTCACTGAAATACCAAGCCGAAAGCACCCAGTACAGTCCTCCATGCGGTCACATGAAACTGTCAACGTGTTAACAACTTGTTGCTATAATCTTAAATGCTGAACGTTAGGTGGGAAATAACAACTACCATTTTTAAGGAACTGGTATGTCCCGGCCTTGGGACAGAACCCATTGCAAACCCCACATTAGCGAACGCTGAATGCCAAAAGTGAAAACGTGATCATGCCAAACAAGTATAGAAATAATATTTAGATCCCAAATGTTGCAATGGGGGCAGCGGATCAATTATGGTATCTTCAATAACCCCTAAACAGAAGAAAGCCCCCCTCCCCCCCCCTCCCCCGAGTGTAGAGGGGTACCCACATTAGTCGCCTTTTACGATATGTAATGGGGGTACAGTAGATCTATTCTTTCCCCAAACCTTCAAAGGACCTTAGTGTTGAACTTTCGCCCAAGTGGGGGCCAATGCGTTCAGTATATTGGCCGGAACATACCATAGTTCTTTAAAAAAACACCTGTTACTTCCTGGCAAACGTTCAGCGTTTAGCGGTTATGGCAACAACTGGTTAATCTGTTTTAAGAATAATGTGACCGGGTGGAATATTGTACTGGGTATCTTCGGCATAGCATTTCAGCGAGGTAACATTAACACAAGAAGGCAAACAAGCATACATTCCACAGAATGAGGCGTGTCCTTAAATGACAAGAGCTGTATATAGAACACTTGGGGACTGAGATAAAAATACACGTCGTGTTAACCACAGAGTGATCGTAGGAGGCGACTTATGTTGGTAACCCCCCACATGAACACTCCAGATCCTCCAGCACACATGCACGCATACATAATACACATGGAGCCACGCCCTGAAATAACTTCAGAGGTTTATAGTACGGTAAACACTTTACAACCAACCAGCACAAAACAAAGAAGCATCTTGTTCCGTTGGTGTCTCCATTGGCAACCGTTATCATATGCCACAGACTGATGCGAGGACGTAAAACTCGATCGCAGAAAATATTTGATATTCAACGGTAAATGACTAGAGTAGTCCTTGAGATCTATTTCTTTGAATTATTTGTCAGTAAGATATTTACACATTTTAACATTGGGTTAAATTAAATACAAAACATATTGTAGCTGAAGAATAGTAGCAAACACTTTGTGAATGTCATGGTCCCGAATTGAATTTTCGAGCACACATGAATCCGACCTTGCCCGTCATGAAATTAGATCATTTGTCCTTCATAATAAATTGTCCTCGATTAAAAATGCATCATGATACAGAAAATATCATACTGTTGTTGTTTTTTTATTGTGAACATTTTTAAGTGCAAATACGTACCTACTACACATTCGCAAATTTTGAAGAGATAACGAAACCTTTACACTGAAGCGCTGTATCGTAAACAGTGCTGATTTAACATTCGACCCGACCAAAATTGTATCCATGCGACGAAGGGACGCTGTATACGGGAATCAGCTTGTCCGTCTGTCTGTCCATCCTCCTGTCTGTCCGTAAAAACATGTCCGGTTATGCATTGGCTCATTGTTAGTGACAGTTCCATATGGAGTTGTGCTCCCTGATATAATTTGGCGTTTCGGACCTTTTTAAAATAATTATGTCATTTTATATAAAATATTTGACAAAAGTTTATTGTAACCCGTGGACCAGTAGTAACGCGTACATAACATACAAGGAGGCACGCCTTAAATGACATTAGCTGTTAATAGGACGTTAAACAAAATATAACCGATCGACCTAAGGTTAAAGGCGTTGTATACACTGGGGTCCATACAACGTCGATTTTAAACAAAGAAACAAACTAAATAAGGCAAGGATCGATTAACAAAGTTGAAGGTTTATGTAAATATTTTCTTTTGTTGTAATCTATACTTATTCGGAATGTTTTGCATGGGTAGACATGAACAAAACATTTTCGTGTTTCCCACAAAGAATTTATGGATTCATTTTGATGTTTTATTGTGTGAAACTTCAATAAGCAGATTTCTATTCCCTGGATAATGTATAGATATATTGATCTGCTATCCCCATTGCAACACATAGTGTTATCCTTCTTGTCTACTTTGTTTCCTTTCTATCTCGTTCAGTGTCTCCCTGGCTCCCGTCATCGTATTACCCTGAGTGTTCCAAGGACTTTAAATCCAAAACAACAATGATATATTTTACACTCATGCAAAATGATTTTTTGTTACAATTTACAGCATAATGGCTGTCGGTGCGCTTCGGTCATTCATTTAGCGTGGGAATCAAATTTCCCCTTTCTTATCAGTGGTTATGAAAGAACGGTATCTGAAACCATTTATGTAAATGAAACAAAATGTCATTATATATGGGTGGATGGGGTGTATAAATTTTAACGTTTTATATACAGCTAAGGTCGTTTAAGGACATACCCCAGTGTGTGGTGTGTATGCATGTAAATGTGTGCTGGAGGCATGATATGTTTGGAGCCATTGGCTTCTTGTGATAGTGCCGATCTGATGCGAACTTTATAGTTCTGCATCACCGAAATACCATGCCGAATGGATCCAGTCCCTGCAGGTAGGGCGTTAGAATAGTACCTGCTGCCCCCATTGCATGATCGTAAGAGGTGACTTAATTTGGGATCTTAACTTTTTTCTCTTCTTTCTAAGCAACTATCTTCTTCATAATGTCTCCCTTGACAATGTTTCACTTTCGGCCTTTAGTTGAGCGTTCGCCCCTGTGAGGAAGGCTTTGGGTTATGTCCTCTGGCCGAGACATACCAGAGTCTTTAAAAAATGGTAGTCTCTACTCCTGCTTAACTCTCTTTTAGGAGTGGGACGACTGGTTCGCCCGTTGTCAGTATAATATGACCGGATGGGGTGTCCTGTTGGGTGTCTTCTGCAGTTTCAGTGAGATAGCACTATAAAATCGGCATCAGTTCCGACAAACACGAACATATCGCAACCTCTCAAAACACGCATACACTACACGCATGCATCTTGCACACAGGGGAGGCGGTCCTTAAATGACAATAGTTGTTAATAGGACGTTAAGCAATACTAAGCCAAACCAAACCAAATCGAATGGAACCAGCATAGCGTTTCGCCTGATCACATTATATTAACAGCGGATGAATCAGTTGTTGGTATCTTTATAATTGCTGAACGAGAAGCAGGGAATAACATCTACCGTTTTGAAGACTTTGGTATGTCCCAGCATGGTGAAATGACCATTTTCTTCCTTACTTACATTACCTGCACACATACACACATGTATGCATACACACACCACACACATGGAAGCACGTCCAATGAATGACCTTAGCTGTTCATGGGACGTGAAACTCTACAAAATCAAACCAAAACCTTCCTTACAGGGGTGAGCATTCTACATTTAATCCAAAAGTGAAGTACCGCCAATTAAGGCACTAGGAAACAAAAGCAAGTTAGACGTAGAGAGAAATATAATGATACTAAATATTGCAATGGGTCAACAAATATAGTTTGATCGCGTTTGTATCCCTAGGTAGTGGACACAAAGATAAATCCCCAATTATGCAGGCGTTTATTCATAAGCCGCTCTTACGACCAATAAGTGGGTAACAGCAGGTGTATTATTTTCCTGAACAACAAACTGCAGGTTGAAATGCCCTAGGAAACAAAAGGCAGTTAAAGTAGAGAGAAATAGAAATATCCTACAAATCAGGCGCTTTCATGTCAAATAACGTCAAATAACGATACTTTTTTTCAAACAGACTTTTTTTGTGGAGGCAGAACTAGCGGCAAAAAAACACAAATCCACAATTCTACAGGGAGGGTTCTCGCATTAATCGTCTCTTACGATCATGCCACTGCAGGTGTATTCTTTTTTTCTCATTCCCCGACCTGCAGGTGTGCTCTATTTGAGTAAAAGTATTCTTAGATATTATTAGTGGGTTCATTTAGTGAACATGGGATCGACGCTGTCGATTTTCAACATAGAAACAGACCCAGCAACTTATAGATCGCAGACTATAACTTTGAAGAAGTTTTATGTGAATATTTTCTTTGAATGTTTTGCATCGGTAGACATACACGAAACAATTTAAGGATTGCCGGCAAAGAATTTATAGATTTATATAAATGTTTCATTGTAAGTCAGTGTGAAACTATAAACAAGCAGATTTTTATTTCTTAATTTTTAAAAATGTTCATCATCTACTTTGAGGTCGTATACCTTGGTCTATATTTCCGTGTTTGCCTTGCACAATGAGACGTGCATGTTTAATCGACCAAGCCATGCTTGCTCTATGTTTATCGATTAATTGTCAATAGTGTTTGACACCCTTATCCGTTGTTGATTTGTCCATGCAATCACTACAACAAAATCGTTCACACTGTTGTATGGACTTTACCGAAACCCAGTGTGTCTAACGCCTTTAACCTCAGGACGATTGGTTATATTTTGTTCAACGTCCTATTAACAGCTAAGGTAATTTAAGGATTGCCTCCTTGTGTGTTGTGTATGCTTGCATGTGTGTCTGTCTGTAGGAGAAGGAGACAGGGTTTGTTGGTGTAATTGCTTCCTTGTTATATAAAAACCAGGTTGTGTAAAGCCAATTTAGCATAATATTTATGGTTGGTTTTTAAAATAAAGTTTAATTATGTCTTTTGTGAACGTTGTTTTTGAAAGTGTTGTACGGCCTATTACGACTTATATTGTCGCTGGGGTTCCGAATATAAGCACAAACAGCGATTAGCATGAAGGAATTGAATGCGTCAATTGATTATATCAAGTGTATATCAGATACTTAATACGACGTTGAAATGTAGCGGGGATTTATTTGGTGTCTTCTCAAGGATTCCCGTCCACTCTTAATCTCTTAATCTCTTATTTCGTTTTGGGTGTCAATGTATTGCAGATGGGCTACGCGACTTTCGTTGACCAGGAAAACGTTTTAGCGACTATACATATATATTAATCTGAAGTCGAATCCATGCCTAGTCCCGCACTGTATTGCTTGAATTTCTGGAATTATTTATCAAAGCTGAAATCATGTCGGTAGTATGGGAAACCTCAACATAGAAGAAATCAAAACTTATTTGCTTATTTTATCGGCTTTTTCATACCAGAGTTGTCAAGCAGAAATCCGCATTTAGTTTCCTGGGATTTTATTGTTGATATATTATTTCACACGTATACCATCTGGTAACTTGTTATCATTTTTGAAACTCTGAACTTGTACATCAAACAAAGATACACACACATAGATATATGAATGTGTCTTACAATAATTAACAAATTAAAAACGACAGTGTTCTTCTTAATTGTGGTATTATTTTGGAAAGGAGAATAAAGGTAACATAGGCTTGAGCGTACCATATCTTTGATGTAATAAAGCATAGTTACACGTGTTGCATAACTAGTAATACGGTGTTATTTCCTGCCGGCATTAGTTAACCTTACCGGAAATGACCGTCAGGTCATGACATGCGTTCATTCTGTGGTCGTGCGGTCACGTCTCTTGATGTCCGCCATGTACCAAGGTGACCGAGTCGTGTTTCCAAAATAACCTCTATTTTGTATAATTATAGGATGAAAAGAAACTATAATCATGAAATACATTTGAAATATGACGGAAGATTAGATATGTGTTCACTCAAGCACGAATGCCAACAATCTGATGTATAAATATGGCGCGTTCAACAAATCTTTCTGGACACTTTCTTCCGAATGACCAGCATGGGGACTCGAGGATATATTTTACTGATATGCCTGGTGATTTTTGTGATGTTGCAAGTCGCCATGTCACAAATTGTGGGTGAAGATGGTGGCTCTTTTGGCAATTGGGTGGCACCTGTTTCAAGTAAGTAATTAATAAGACAGGTGACAGAGAGACAAAGAATGAACGCAAAACACACACAGGTGACTGTACCTTGATAATATAGTAATCGATACAGTATGCTAAAGAATAATTACACTGCATCATAAAGCTGTTTCTTCATTGCAGGACAAAATGATTTTTACTGACAATATTACCAATATTGAATCAACAATAACAATGTAACCATGGATCTTGCAGTTGTATTCCAATGATAACGGCTACCTCGTTATGTTAAAAAAAGAGAGATACAGCGCTGAATTTTTATTGTTAGGTTACATAAATGTTTCTTCCTCTACACTATTAAACCAATACGATGACAATTACAGCTTAACAGCCTTTTCAGGGAATCTAACGTCTTTTTTGTTTGATGCGTATACGTGGAATACGTATTACCAAGGTTACAGCCCCGGGTTCATTAATACATAACAAAACATTTGTAACATTATTCTAAGCCATACTTAAAACCACTTACAGAACGATTATGAAACAATATTTTCAACTATCCACGAATTAATAACGAAGCATCAACACACAATCAATAACACTACGGCAAAATTGAACTAAGGAGAGATTTACATCGGGACCCTAAAAAATACAGGAAGTATGACAAGGTGTATCGGAAGGGTAAATTACATTCTAGCATTTCTCCTAAGGGGTTAAGTACATAAACATGGAATACGTTATACCGGATTTAGAGTTCCGAGGTCATAACTCGTACAAAAAATGTAATTAAAATTATTCAGGCCTTCTTTAAATTAAACATTTTTGAATCGTTTATTTCTGTCCTGTCATAGATGTAATGCTATAGTCATTAACGGAGAGCCATCACCAGTACAAATGGGAAAAAATGTGAATCACAAATTTTCTTTTGTACTCATGTTCACTTTATTCCGTATAAATATTCTGCCCAGCTATTATTTTCCGCCGCTAAGTTATACTATGCACTGACAGTAATTTCTTTGAAATATTGATGCATGATTGATAAATATGTCTCAATAGCGTTGCAGCAGAGAGAGAAAATCCGTTTCCTTTAGTACCAACACATACCGGTAAAAACAGGTTATTTCTAAATGTTAATAAATCCGTAATTCTCCATCGAAAATTGATGAAAGTAGGCCAGAATAAGGAAAAAATTTATATGGGACCCCTGAAAACGTACTAGAAATTAAGGTGTGTCGGAAATGTAAGAACCATCATGTAAGTTTCATGAACGGAAACCCGACATGTTAATTGGTTTTAAATAAAAGTGATTCACGTCCACCGATTGAGAACCTTAGTAGTGAAATAAAAACATCGGCACTCAAATTGGGCAAAGAACGTGAATATTTTCTATCGAGATCATAACGAGTACCATACAAATGAAATACGTAATGTGTTCAAGGAAACAATATGTGCGCTTATAAAAGATGGACTTATATACCTTAATCTGATATACCATTGATTTCCGGGACATGGCCCTATACAGAATTGTAGATTGATCTTAAATGGGATGTCACGGATTCATTGTACTACCATTCCGGAAACAATTTCATTTGGGACATAACACGTAATTACAAACGTATTCAATAGAAATAGTAATTAGTGTTACACATATAATCGCTTATGATTGTTGGTTGGTTAGCGACAATCTCATTTGGGACATAACACATATTAACAAACGTATTCAATAGAAATAGTAATTATTGTTACAAATATAATCGCTGTTGGTTGGTTAGTGACAATCTCATTTGGGACATAACACATAATTACACTTGTATTAAATAAAAATAGTAATTATTGCAACAAATAAAATCGCTGTTGGTTGGTTGGTTGGTTAGTGACAATCTCATTTGGGACATAACACATAATTAACAAATGAATTCAATAGAAATAGTAAGTATTGTTACAAATATAATCGCTGTTTGTTGGTTAGTGACAATCTCATTTGGGACATCACACATAATTACAAACGTATTCAATAGAAATAGGAATTATTGTTACAAATAAAATCGCTGTTGGTTGGTTGTTTGGTTAGTGACAATCTCATTTGGGACATAACACATATTTACAAACGTATTTAATAGAAATAGTAATTATTGTTACAAATATAATCGCTGTTGGTTGGTTAGTGACAATCTAATTTGGGACATAACACATATTTACAAACGTATTCAATAGAAGTAGTAATTAGTGTTACAAATATAATCGCTGTTGGTTGGTTGGTTAGTGACAATCTCATTTTGGACATAACACATATTTACAAACGTATTCAATAGAAATAGTAATTATTGTTACAAATAAAATCGCTGTTGGTTGGTTGGTTGGTTAGTGACAATCTCATTTGGGACATAACACATATTTACAAACGTATTAAATAGAAATAGTAATTATTGTTACAAATATAATCGCTGTTGGTTGGTTGGTTAGTGACAATATCATTTGGGACATAACACATATTTACAAACGTATTCAATAGAAGTAGTGATTAGTGTTACAAATATAATCGCTGTTGGTTGGTTGGTTAGTGACAATCTAATTTGGGACATAACACATATTTACAAACGTATTCAATAGAAAGAGTAATTAGTGTTACAAATATAATCGCTGTTGGTTGGTTGGTTAGTGACAATCTCATTTGGGACATAACACATATTTACAAACGTATTCAATAGAAATAGTAATTATTGTTACAAATATTATCGCTATTGGTTGGTTAGTGACAATCTCATTTGGGACATAACACATATTTACAAACGTATTTAATAGAAATAGTAATTATTGTTACAAATATAATCGCTGTTGGTTGATTAGTGACAATATCATTTGGGACATAACATATAATTACAAACGTATTCAATAAAAATAGTAATTATTGTTACAAATATAATCGCTGTTGGTTGATTAGTGACAATATCATTTGGGACATAACACGTAATTACAAACGTATTCAATAGAAATAGTAATTATTGTTACAAATATAATCGCCGTTGGTTGGTTGGTTGATTAGTGACAATCTCATTTGAGACATAACACATATTTACAAACGTATTCAATAGAAATAGTAACTATTGTTACAAATATAATCACCGTTGGTTGGTTGGTTGATTAGTGACAATCTCATTTGGGACATAACACATATTAACAAACGTATTCAATAGAAATAGTAATTATTGTTACGAATATAATCGCTTTTGGATGGTTGATTGATTATGGAAAAACTCATATGGGACGTTGATAATTGGTTTTGTTTGGTTGGCTATGGGCACCTGCCAGTCATCCCGGTTTTCTAATTTGTCCCAAAGCTCGATATGGATGTTAAGGGGCCATGGGAAACCTCCTTGTAAAAGTTCAGAAAGATCCCTCCGGCACTTTTTAATCTGTTTATCTCTCTGTTTTCATCGGTATCTCCCTAGGCACCCTTCCTTATATGACCCTAGCTGGCAAAGGAACGTTAAACTGCAAACAATCGTTTTGAGAAATAGCGCTAGCAAACTTTTAACTTTCAAAATTAAAAGATTGTCGCCAGTCGGCCATCTTGGTTCCGAGAAAATAATGCTAACAAAAATCGTTAAAGAACAGACGAACCACGGACGAAGGGTTATTTGAACAGCACGCCATCCGAAGATGGTGGGCCCTAAATCTAGGAAAGAATAGCTAAATATAAATACTTTTTCGACAAACTCGAATTTCCAGTAGCTTTTATTTCCACCATTGTTTCTTATAATACATATATTTCTTTTTTCTTTTCAGTTGGGGAAGGCTGTGTTGTTCTAAACGACCGGATATTCTGTTTCGATCATTAAGCAGTGTCTTTCCCCAGCCAGAATCCCTTTGATGTCAAAAAGACCAATAAATCATTAAGATTAAACAATGTTTCGTACTACATGTATCTGGAAATGCATCTATGACTACAGGGTCATTCATTGAATATTAAGGCGGAAATACAGACACAAATTTGATTCATACACGAGACAGAAATTGATTATCAGGCAAGGTCTTTTTCTCAAATCTTAACGAGATTATCATAATAAACTTGCTGATGAAAAATACATAATTTTTGAGGTGTATGTTAATCGGTCACCGCTTACTGCAAAACGCAAAGTGTTAATGGTAATGAGATGTATTCTATTCTAAAAAGTGTGAAACTGTTTTGATTAAATGTTGAACTGAACTACACATGATTTGTTTGTTAGTTTGTTGTTGAGGTTGTTCGGAGCAGCCAATGACATACATTTGTATATGACGACGGTGTTTATCTACACAGTTGATTTAGAAATCTAATTTCAATTTCACACAACTCTTGAGAAACTCCCAATTCTGCAGCGGCCCTGCATTAATCGCCATTTACGACACACAAGAAGTGGGATAAAGCAGTTTTTTCTGCTTTCTTCGCCAAACCAGCAGACAAAGGATAAACCATCCCCGACTCTGTAGGAGGGGGCATATTAGTCGCCTCTCCCGATTATGAAGTGAGATACAGAAGGCCTACTCTTTTCTCGAACCTGCACGGGTCTAGCCGAAGGTGCCTAGAGACACCAAGATAAGAAGAGAAGAAATCCAAGCTGAAGTAATATATTGCTTTGTATTGTTACTTACGTGCTATAACCTGTTAATAGGACGTTAAACCCCTTACAGCCAACTTACGGGGTAGAATGATGGTCTAACGATCCTAGTCTGAGGAAAACTTACACCCGCTGTTACTGATTGTATGTTGCATGAGGATCATTATGTGGGAACTCCTGCAGAATTGGGGATTAGCTTTTGTACGCTACATTTTAGGATACCAAAACAGTCAAACTAAGTCTGCTGGATATATTGCAATAAGACGTTGTGTTCTGTCTGAAGGTCAGGATATACCAACGTATGTAAAAACAGTCGTTGTTGTTCCCTGCTGTTAAAGACTGGTAAGCCCGTTGTCAGTAAATATAGGCCTTGGTGCCCTCAGTGACGTATCCGCAGGTCGGATATTGAAGGCAAATGTGTATACATTTGTACCTGCGGATATCTACTGAATGTTGAAAGAGGACACTGATGTTTGTTAAATGTTTGCCCAAATGGGGAAGACAATGGGTTCTGTCCCTTGGATGGGACATTCCAATGTCCTTAAAAATGGAAGCTAGTACATTCCCTGCTAAAACTTCAGTACTAGGGGTAATGGCAAAAACTGGTAACTCTTGTCAGAATAATGTGACAAGATAGAGTACTATGCTTGGGCCTTGGGCATGGCATTTCAGTGAGGTAGAACTATAAAGTCGGCAACAGATCCGCGTTATTGCAAATACACCAACATAGACTGCCTGTAGCACACCTACACAGATGCATACACACGAATGGGGGTAGATTAGTATGACGTTTAACAAAATAGAACAGACCTCGGTTAGGGATCAATCTGTAATTGTCAGCTTATCTGCGTTAACTAAAATAAACAAATACACCAACCTACCACCTCGAGTCAACAGACATACATTAAATACACAACTAGGGACCAAGGGATCTTGTATGATGTGAAATTTAAGAAAGATCCGTCCAGGTATTTTTGATCCGATCTGTTTTTTAACATCGAAAACGCATCCAACCAGAGATCAACTGAAGCCCTAGCTGTTGATATGACGCTTATAATTCTTTTTAAGTCTCTAAAGAAACATGCAAGTACTTAATAATCGACGGGAAGTATAATGTATTATTAACTATGCATATTTTTTATTGTTGTCACTATAATATCCCCGTATGACGCACAGCTCCATGAATATTTCGTTTACCGAAAAAAGTGTTTCTTTCCGCAAAACGCTGCTTCAGATTGACATTTTTGATAAAGAAAAACTACTGGATGTAAACTGATCTATTTGCAAGATAAGAAAGTCAAAAGCAGCGGAGAACATTATTTTTATTTAGACCAGTCTAAAAGGGTGGCGTAGTGGTCGCCGTTGCTTTGCTGAACCTTGGCCAGTCTAAATCGGTGGCGTAGTGGTCGCCGTTGCTTTGACAAGAAATAGCTGATGGTGTCTACACGAATGGTCCAAAATCTGATAGAGTTGTGCTTTCAGGGCCTGGTCCAACTCTTCCTCATGGCCGTTGACGGAAGCCATCATTTGCAACTGAAGAAAAAACATCGTCTTCTTTAAAATCACACCGGTTAAGGGAAAATCGTGTCAACCCGCCTCCTGCACTTGCATAAACGCAAGCACGCATACATGGAGGCACGTCCTTAAAAGACCTAGCTTTAATCAGGACGTTAAAAAAATAAAACCAAACCAAACAGTCTAGACCGGCCGCTCTGGTTAGATATTTGATTGATCTCAGGTCAAATCACCTGACCAATTGCAAATCTGATACCTCTTCTTTGAAGATTACAGAGAAGAGGCACCCTGCCTCAAAGCCAGTCAATTTTACCGTTCTTTTGGTTCTTTTGAAAGTCTTTGCCTAAATGCTTGATACTAGTGTTAAACCGTTCAGGGAGATCTCATGATCACCGTATGGGAGTTTCTGTCGCTCCGCTTAGTGCCAATACCCGATGTACCTCCCATACGGTGATGTTATCAGGCAAAGATAACGTTAGATATGCTGCTATGATATGAAAGCAGCACGTCTTTATCTCGAGATCTACGCGTCGTATGATACGAGGTAACTTCAGTATTGATACCCTATCAACTTCCGTTCGTATATGAATACATTTTGTTGGTTGTTAAAACGATATTTTTAACTTATAGAACACAGCATCGTATTTAGTTCACACCGTACGTGTCAAATGACGCGCAAAAGAATAATATAGAATCATGCATGCATGCGTTTCTCTGTTTAAATTAACTATGTTCTCAATGATTCATGTTCCATTGCCAGACACAACACTCGGGGTTTCCAATTTTTCCAAAGACGAAATACTACATTATCACGATTCTGTATTACAATCTTTCCGAATACCCACTAATGATAAGGATACGGACCTGCATTGTTAGTATTATATTCCGAAAACTTTGCAAGTATTCGTATAAACAACGTGTTATCGCTTGCTCTTCCATTTGCTCAATCAAACCATTATCCTATCTTGTTACTAAAATTCGTAGTACCATTGAATCGGGGTTGCAATCGTAGTGTGACACTGTATAATCGAGAAGTGGAAAAGATGGAATGTGAATTTATAAAACGTTAAATGATTTTTAGGAACATCGTAAAATCATGCATGGTAACGGAAACAAAATATGCGTTTCTGTGTATAAGTAAACTATTTTCTTCAAAATCTCTGTCTCACTGTAGGCAAAATGCTCGAGATTTCCACTTTTGCGTAAATCAGTAACCTTACCTCAATTTTGCCTCGATCCCCTCCCTCTACTTTGGAACACAAAAGCTACCGAAATAAGATATCTGCACCCACTGTAACATTTTGGATAACTCAATTTTGTTTACTTCCTAAAACCTTTTTATTCTTAGCGTCTTGCCTGGCAATACCTCATTTTTCACTTTGATGTTGAACGTCCGTCTACGTGAAGAAGGCACTGAGTTCGCTTCGCACGCCGGAACATAACAAATTCGCTGAATGTTGTAGTTGATATTCCGTGAAAAACGTGCAGCTGTTTTGTTGATGTCAACAACTGTTTAACCCAACGATCGTCAGTATACTGTGACAAAAACGAAACGAATATCTTTCTTTTCGGCAGTGCCTCCTAAGGCATCAATCTTTATATGACGTAAGATATTACAAGGACATTGACCGCCAAACAACCAATCACTAAATACTATGACGATATACCGTTAGGCATTGAAGGCTGAACAACCAATCACTAAATACTACGACGATATACCGTTAGGCATTGAAGGCTGAACAGCCAATCACTAAATACTACGACGATATACCGTTAGGCATTGAAGGCTGAACAGCCAATCACTAAATACTACGACGATATACCGTTAGGCATTGAAGGCTGAACAACCAATCACTAAATACTACGACGATATACCGTTAGGCATTGAAGGCTGAACAACCAATCACTAAATACTACGACGATATACCGTTAGGCATTGAAGGCTGAACAACCAATCACTAAATACTACGACGATATACCGTTAGGCATTGAAGGCTGAACAACCAATCACTAAATACTACGACGATATACCGTTAGGCATTGAAGGCTGAACAACCAATCACTAAATACTACGACGATATACCGTTAGGCATTGAAGGCTGAACAACCAATCACTAAATACTACGACGATATACCGTTAGGCATTGAAGGCTGAACAACCAATCACTAAATACTACGACGATATACCGTTAGGCATTGAAGGCTGAACAACCAATCACTAAATACTACGACGATATACCGTTAGGCATTGAAGGCTGAACAACCAATCACTAAATACTACGACGATATACCGTTAGGCATTGAAGGCTGAACAACCAATCACTAAATACTACGACGATATACCGTTAGGCATTGAAGGCTGAACAACCAATCACTAAATACTACGACGATATACCGTTAGGCATTGAAGGCTGAACAACCAATCACTAAATACTACGACGATATACCGTTAGGCATTGAAGGCTGAACATAACACACACACAAGTGATTGCACCTTTAGATTTTGGGTAATAGATACAGTATGTAGGAAAAAGTGACCCATTTCCCAGGATGTAGAACTCTTTTGGGAAGGAGATAGAGATCTCAGTTATCATAGATATCATTAAAACTTAAATTGAACAGAGATTGTACAAGCATTTTCAAAGTTATTTGTCTTCAGATGATCCTTTTGAATCTGATATGATATACATGCATGTTTATAATAATAATAATACAAAAACATTTCAGGCTCTTATATACCGCTTTATCACAACCTAGTTCGTAGGTCGTCTGAAAGCGGTTCACAAATTAGTATCCGTGGTTATAGGGCCTTTGCAACCAGCTACTATCTTTCTCAACTCCCTGGGAAGCATACAGCCGGTGCTGCCAATTCGGCGCTCACAGCCTGCATTCAGCAATTCTAGCACTGCCCAACCAAGTACTCATTTACAGTGAGTAGACTGGAACAAGCGGAGTAAAGTATCTTGCTCAAAGATACAACACAGTGCCGTGCCTGGACTCGAACCCGCAACCCGTCGGTCACAAGCCCGACCATGAATTGTAGCTGTTAGGTTTGTAAACAATAGTGGCGGTTTGGAATTGTAACCTTAATATATTTATGAAATATATCGACGGATTGGGATTTACACAGACACGCTTATGTTTACCATTGTGATAATTGTATTAACCACCATTAGCTGCATGGCATATTTAGTTAAATGTTACAAAGTAGTATTGTTTCAAAACCAATTGGAAACATGTTGAGCGGTATTATGTTTCACCTGTTAATAATAGTTTTAAAATCCAGGATTATTCATTGACACTTGCGTCGATATATGCAGCCCAGAAGCTTTTATGAACATAAAATATATTTAGTTTTGGTGTCATTTTTGTACTTATCAAAAGGAGGCATGATTCTCTTCACATAACGTAGAGTGGGGTTTCAAATCGATCGTTTTAATGATTAGTCTTTGTAGTGCGGTGCCGGTCATACGGACATAGCTATGCGTTCTTGTTACGGGGAGAAGATCACGAGCCCTTTAGTCATTCATGCGACGAACATGGATATGACTGTGTCTCACATATTGATCGAATGTGCCAATTTTTGACAGATTCGAAACTAATAGTATAATGTGTCTGATATGGAAACATTGATCCACACAATATATTTGTCGACGATTTTCAAATACCTGCGTAAAATTGGTTTATACTCTAAAATTTAAAAAAAAATCGTTTTAATGTATCTTACCATTTTCGCTGTGTACTTGTGTAAACAGTTTTTTACTATTCTGTTTGTTTTTGGTTAATTAAGTATTGTAATTGTCCCTTCTTATTGTTGTCAGGCCCGATATGACTTAAACATTGCTGGGCCATAAAGCCATCAGCTAACTGACTATCAACAGCATAACACACATTATAACTATCAGATAAATAGCATGTGTCCACATGTCGATGTTGTTAGTCTTATCCAATACTCTAGATCTGCATACGTTATGTAAAGCGGTTGATTTCTTCTTTTTGTTATTGATATTAAAACGATTATTGGCGTTTTTGTGTAAAATCTATCACCACAGCTATTTATCTTCATGCCATTAAGGTGGTTGGGAGTCGCAGTGAATAACGCACTCGCCTATTACCAAGGCGTCCGGGGTTCGATTCCCCAATCGGACATGAAACTGTATTGGGTCTCTGCCCACATTAAGACAACCCACGCGCTAACATCCAGGCCAAGAAGAGCTGATTAATATACACCTTGTTTCATAATTGCTTATAAAAAACATCAAGTTGGTTTATTTTTTTACATACTTCTAGTTGCTCCAAACCGTTGACTTGATGGACCTGATGTATTTGATGGTTATCCAGACCCATGAAGTAGCAGGTACTGTGGGTTCGTGCCACCAGGTAGTGCTGTGTAGAACGAAAATGGTGTATTATTGTCACATAAGTTATATAAAACTGTTATCAATAGTTAAATAGACAAAAATGTACCACAGCGTCAACAACCAAGGAAATCGTTTTCAATATGTAAATGCAACAGCAGGAACGGAGAAGATATCAAAAGGAAAGTCTTATCTTACTTGTGCATGTACGTGTATATTAATCCATTAATCACTTGTCATTTTAATTGCTTACTAGGACCAATGGTTACTGGTCCAGCAAAATTAGACGGTATATTGCATTGATCAAAAACGAAAAAAGGTATGACAGGCAAAAATTGTTGAGGTAAGTTTGACATTACAAAATGCTATCATGAAATTGATTTGGAAATCGAAAATCATCCTGGAAATAAATTGGGAGAAACTGTGCCGTTTTTTAATTTGAAATTGAGGAGCGTTTAGCCATATTCGTAGCCTAATAAAGCAAGTGGTCAAGCAAGATCCAAAATGGATATGGAGATATGTAGTTTACTCTCATTTTACTGAAATATTGACCTACCATTACCGGATCGTAGACATAGGTCACTGTACCGTGCTCGCTGTGCTCGTGCGAGCCCGTGTGTGCAGCCTGGACACTATGTTGCACCTGGATCAAATATGTAGTATGATATCTTACAAATGAGGAAGGCAATGTGTTCTGCTCTGTTTAAACAAGGTAGTAGTTATTCCCTGCTTTATACTCAGCATAAAGGGCAATTGCGACAACCGATTCGCTCGTGGTAAGTATAATGCGACCGTTTAGAATGATGTGATGGGTGCCTTTGGCTTGGTCTTTCAGTGAGATAGCACTTTAAAGTTGGCAACATATCCGCGCTATCACAGGAGGCAAATACAACCAACATACCCTGCCCCTGCACACATGTGTTGTGTAAGCTAGCTTGCGTGTGTGTGGAGGAGACGGATTATGTTGGTGTATTTGCCTCCTTGTGATATGATGCCGACTTTTTAGTGCTATCTCACTGAAATGCCATGCTGAAGGCACCAAACACAGCATTCCACCTGGTCACATTATAATAACAACGGGTGAACCTTTTTTTGAAAGGCTCAACGTCCTATCAACAGCTAAGGTCATTCAAGGACGTGCCTCCATGTGTGTTGTATACGCGTGCATGTGTATGTTGGCATTCCCCTAAATGCTGAACGTTAAGCAGGGAATACACAATTATTGCAAAAACTAGGAACATTGCTTATGATCACATAGAAATATTGTCGTATCTGAAAATGAAAGGATTGCTCCCAAGAAACTATATAGTTTAAGATATATGCCACTTCACACACATATGTGTTTCTTCTTTCGAAGTGTTCCACACAAGAAACTTGTAAAACGTATTATGATGAATAGTAGTTTTGAGGCACAGAAAAAATAAACTAACGCCACAAACATAAGGAACATACATCATCGATAACATGTAGTTGTGTCATGTTTGGCCTGATAAAAAGTAAAAAACTTATCTTGAATGTATTTACCAATTTCTGTTATAAACATAGCATTGGTTAATTAGGCCTATCTTTCTCGGTGATTCCCCCCCCCCCCAGTGCATGCGTAGATGCCCTACCGTAGCAACAAAAGTGCGTTGCTATGCAGAAATAGCTAAAATATGGTGTTTATGGACAGTTCACATGTAGAAATAAAAGCCTCCGTATGTGATAAACAAAAGTTCCTTTCTACGATTGAAAACTGATATAGCAATGATTCAGCATTTCATATATTTATTTGTTTGTTGCATGCAGAAGCTTTCACACATTGAAGAGTGTTTAGTTAATTTCCTTCACAATGGCCAATTTTCAACCAAATAGCGCACAACAAACGATATATAAACGCATTTTTCTATGAAACCGTGGGGTTATGTCTCTCTATGCAATCCCATATCCCTAAACCAGTTATGCTTCATTTATTCCAGAGTACGAAAATAACAACAAATTATAAATCCCCGAAGAGGCCAAAAATAAACCCTTAACGCCCGTAGTCCTTTGAAATTGAAAATCACAGAAGAAAACTGAACATGACTGACAGATTAATGTGTTAAGTAGCATAGCTCTTTGAAAACTGCGTGGTATACTTGTGATGCTACTCCTATCACGAATTCAGATGCGCACAAATTCATAGTTTAAGACTCACCCACTTATTAAACCATGCTGATTGACAGTAAAAGATCGATGAAGATTAGGACAATACCTGAACGGTGGCCAATGTCAAAATTACAACAACAGCCGTCACTGTCAACATGTTGTTGGGTAAGGAAAGGATCGGCGCTGACTTGAAAACGTTTGATAGACGGTTCGGGCTAACTATGGCGTAGTGACACCAATTATCAAACGGAAGCCACTCTCGCTTTGTCGATAAGCTATTTTTTAAGGTAACGCATTGCCAGCAATATATGTCTTATATCTCCCATATGTTCATACAACTACATAAGGGTCAAAAACATAGTTGGTGACAAGATAACGTTAAAGCAAGACCACGTCAACTGGGCTAACATGACCAATATGTTGAACGGTTGATAGGCATTTAATATATCACATAAAATCTAAGACTTTTACAAAATCAAATTCTAAACTGGAATTATGTTCATGCGTTTCAGGAAACCGTAATTTCAAAAATGAAATATAAAACTTTAATACTGAAATAGGTTATTTTTTGTAGTCGGTAAGGTGTCGACAATTCCATTGTGGTTCTCAGTGGAGTATTGTTGTTATGCGGTTTAATATTATTTTCAGTCTGTGTTACAGGTGTTATCCCAATTTGTCAATAAACTACATGTCAATGCTACAGGTGATATTCCAATTTGTCAATAAGCTACATGTCAATGCTACAGGTGTTATCCCAATTTGTCAATAAACTACATGTCAATGTTACTGGTGATATTCCAGTTTGTCAATAAACTACATGTCAATGCTACAGGTGTTATCCCAATTTGTCGATAAACTACAAGTCTATGTTCCATGTGGTTTCCCTATTTGTCATTGAACTACAAGTCTATATTCTAGGTGATATCCCAATTTGTCAATAAACTACAAGTCTATGTTCTAGGTGATATCCCAATTTGTCAATAAACTACAAGTCTATGTTCCAT